ATGCGTTGCCTACCCTTAATCGACGGAGGATACGCACTTAAAGAGGATATTTCCTCCTCCTAAGCGTCTCCTCTACTGTCAAATCCACGTTTCCTTTCCAGTCTATTCTTATGAGATAAAGGGTGGGAAGGAAAACGAACTAAAGTTGGGCCTCAGGCACCACACTCATCAGACTGTATGTGGAATTGCTCCCGCCGCCTGTCTTCGGTGTGGTCGTTGTATTACACCGGGCGAGCTGTCCAATTTGTGCGTAGATGCTAAAGCGGGCTCTACCACTGTTAAAATGTTTTAAAGGATGTAGTTGAGATGTTAGCTTAGACCAGTGATTTCCAAAAGTAACCTAAGTGCATTCCGTGGGGTCCACGAGTGTTTTATTTGATTTTGAACACTGAAGACTCGCAATTGGAGTAAATCACGAATGTTTAATAAACAATTTATTTGTCTCCCGCCAGTAAAAATGAAGATGTACTGATAAAACTTTGTAAACCGTCTACAAAGAAAAAAGTTTAGGAACCTCTTTCTTAGACGAACCTTGATATTATCTATAAGTTGAAACACTATTTGTTAAGTAAAAAATAGTCAGTAAATCTAAAAATGTTTTTTTTTTCTTATAGTGCCGTAAGACATTTGACAAATTGTGCTACCGATTGGAACGTAGATTGCAGAGATGTTACTGAAAATTATTTCTATGAAGAGAGTATCAAAGGCCACATACACGTCTTGAGAAATATATGCGACGATGAATGGTTTATTTCAAGTATGATTATTACTAATAATAGAACTTTAATAATGCTCATTTCTTCTAATAGACACACTCAGTTCATAATTGTTCTATTTAGATTTTTTTTAATCAATAGCATTACTATTAAAGATTTAAAATTTTGTGGTCTAAGATATCGTTTATTGGCAAGAATAAAACTTGCTTACTGATAAATAACAATTACTTATTTGAAATTCATAACACTTCTTTTTTACATTGTCCTGTCTACTGTTTTGTTAAGTCTTCAAGATTTATTTTAGAATATCAGAATTTGCCTCGTTGTATCGAAAGTTCAGCAGCTGCGTGGGAAGACTGTTACACAAGGTTCAAACGAATTGTAGACGATAAAAAGAACACAACGCACGAGTGGACGCATTACGTGACACATTTTTATTTATGTTGGTGAGAATTTTAAATTGTGTAAAATATATAAATAAGGTTACATCAGACTTGGTATTGCAGCAGTAAAGATAGTAAATAATATTTGAAGAATTTAGGCCCTGATATCAAAGGTTATGTTTAACTATAATGGTATTTTTGCAGTGCAAGAGCTCAATTTCGACGTTGCACTCTGGAATCTCTTTTAGACGGTAGAAACAAATGCAGTCACGTTCAGGCTGTGATACTCCAAAAGTTCTCAGTTATTGTGTCTCAAGGTGATGTGTTTCAGGTAAATTTTGATTATAATATGTTTAATGTTCTCATTTTATTCAAGAGACGATCGTAGATATTTTCTCAAAGAAATATGTATTTTCAGTTATTTGCCTTAATTGTTTCTTTTAGGATTGTGACTTCAACGTTATTTATTCTAATTGTCCTGACGGTGATCCTCGACCTGACGAATTTCTTCTTTCAAAACTTGTTACGGCAGATGAGACCGAAGATGCGGGACCTAGACTATCAGCGAAATGGTGCTTAATTTCAATTTTTCTAGGCATGCATCTAATAAACAGTTTATAAACATTACTGATTTTCATTTTATTGAAATCGTTGGTTAAAAATTTTAACTTGTTTAATTTGTAAGTGTTCAAACTCCGCGTCGGCATTACGAATAAATGCCGTGTGATTGCTGTGGCAAAATGGTCCTAGATAGGCCTACTAATTATCCTCTATCAGGGCTGTTTGAAAAGTAGGTAGATAAAAGCTTTGGATGATT